TCGAAAGCCAGAGCGCCCCGCAACTTAGACCCCAGGCCTCGGGCCTCAGAGCCTCGGGCCTCAGTTACCCCATCTGTAAAATGGGGCAGCTGTAGCTTTGGCTTAGAAAACGCGGACCCTCCTATGGCCAGCTTTCTCCTTCCCCGCTGACTGGCTGGCTCTTTGAGGGGGGTCAGGTATCTCCTTCCACAACGCTGGGGTAGAAGATTCTCCTTCCCGCGTCTGGCATGTAGTAGGTGTTCAGTAAATATGACTCCTGTTAGCCGCATCACCACTCCACCAACTCTTGGATGTCCCAGTGCTTGAGTGGCTGCAGACAAGCACCAGCCACGGGGTTGGCTAGAAACCATTGGGAATTTGTTAGAAATGCAGAGTCTTGGGTCCTGCCCCCAGCGGACGAAAGAGAATCTGCCTGTTTAGATCCCCCAGTGATATTTAGGTAAGTTTGGGGTACACTAGAGCTCATTTACTTATGTACACTTTAAGGAGGGCAGAAGGGTCCCCCTAAAGTATGTGCTACCCGAGTTATAGGGGCTGTTCCGTACCCCATTTTCCAGAAGGTTTTGCTCCCGTCCAGCAAAAATCACAGAAGGAGCAAAGTCTCTGAATCTGGCTCGGGAATGAGCCTGAATGTCACCTGGAGACTACAAAGGCATGAGGGGGCCCAGGTCCCCTTTCCAAGGTGTTGCTGGCTTTCTGGCAACCCAGGATTAAAGGCCCCTTGTCCCTCTCTGTTCAGCAGAGAGAAAAGCGCTTGCAACCCCTGGCTGAGCAGGAATGAGACTGGGAATGAGAACTTGGAAATTCGCCTTACTGCCCACCCACGAGACACCGGTGGTGGGCGGTGGGCGGCTGGGCCCGGAAGGACCCAGGGGCCAGTTTCCACACTGTGCCAGCCCCTGCTTGCTGCTCCATTGCTGTGACCCACAGAGCAGAGGCACTGGGAGGGGGCTGCAAGCCCTCTGTCTCCTTTCTCCTTTGTTTTTGGGATTTGACTGCTGTCTCTAGACTTGCCTTTGTTTTCTTTATATTTTCCTGCCTTGGGTTCACTGACCCGTTTGAATCTGTACAGTTATATCTTTCACCAAATTTGGGGTAATTTCAGCCATTATTTCTTCAAATATTTTCTTAGCCCCATTCTCTCTTCTCTCCTAACAAATACCTATGTAAGATGTGTTGATAGCGCCCTACAAGTCCCTGAGGCTGTTTGCTTTGTTCTATCATTTTTCTCTCTGCTTCAGATTGAATAATTTCTCAGGATATATTTTCAAAGTCGCTCTTTTCTCTGTTATCTCCACTCAGCTGTTAAATCCATCCAGTGAATTTTAAAATGGCATTGTTTTTCAGTTCTAAAATTCTCGTGTGGCTTTAGATTACATATGTTTTCTGGGTTGCTAAAGATTTACTATCTTTGCATTCATGATGAGCATGTTGTCGTTTATCTCCTTGTATATCGTTGTAATGGTTACTTTATCATCAATACCAGCTAATTGCAACACCATCATTGAAGGGTTACTAAACGCTCTTTATTGTCTTTTATCTTAAAAATAGGTCATATTTCCTTGGTCCTTATATTCTTTTTTGTTTCTTCAAAGCCGTTGATTTTATTTTCATTTTAGTGGGAATTAAGTTAGCTGGTTCAAACTGCAAACCCTCTCTCAGGGCATCATGCCAACCTCAGTTCAGTTTTTTTTTTTTTATTCTCAGCTGGGTTTCTTGAAATAAGAATGCATAGTCAGAGGCCACCCAGAAATTTGAACAGAGGCTATACACAGATTCTGGGGCCCCTCGTGTGGACTTTATCCCTTCTAGAATTCAGCTTGACTTTCTAGTAGCTATAACCCTGTATTTTCTAGTTCTTACCTAAAAAAAGACTGAGTTTTCTGTTGAATATTTTTTTAATTGAGGCGAAGCCCATATGACACAAGATTGAGCATTTTATTTTATTTTTTCTAATTTTTTAAAAGATTTATTTATTTATGCATACAGAACTGGAGTGCAGGCCAGAGGTGCAGAGGTGTTGAGAGGATTCACCAGAGACAGAGTGGGGAGCAGAAAAGGCAGATTGATGAAATACACTGCTGAGGGGAGCAGCGGGCGACACAGGACAGGTCTGCCGCGCCATGTGGGTCACCTCAGGGTTGGGGATCAAACTCGCACTGAAACGGCTGTGGCTGGCCTGCAGAGCTGCATCCTTAGCTGTTGCGCCCCCAGGGAGGGCCAGATTGAGCATTTTAAATTAAATAATTCAGTGGTATTTAGTACACTCACACAGTTGTGCAATCATCACCTCTATCTAATTTTAAAACATTTTTATCCCCCTTAAGGGAAATCTACTACCCATTAAGCAGTTGTTTCCTGTTTCCCCTCCCTCAACCCTTGCAACCACCAATCTACCCTATGAATCTAATTGCTCCATCTGGAACATTTCACCTAGGTAAAATCATACACTATGTAACCTTCTGTGCCTGAGTCTTTCACTCACATGTTGTAGCACATGGTGCTTTGTTCTTGTTTATGCCCGAGTACTATTCCACTGTCAGCATATACCACAATTTGTTTCCCCATCACTTGTTGATGGACATTTGGGCTGTTTTCACCGTAGGGCTGTTGTGACTAGTGCTTCTATGAGCATGTGTATGCATGCATTTGACTGGGTACTTGTTTTGAATTCTTTCGGGTGTATACTTAGCAGTAGAATTACTGGGTCCTATGGTCATAATATGTTTAAACTTAAGGAACTGGCAAACAGTTTCCACCATTTTACATGCTCACCAGCAATGCACAAAGCTTTCAGTTTCTTGGCATTCTCACCAACAAATACTTTCTATTTATTTCATTATTTCCATTTGTTTAAGCAATGTGTTTAATTATAGGTATCTCACAGGACACCTCATTGCGGCTTTGATTTGCATTTCCCTGGTGGCCGGTGATGCTGAGCACCCCGCCATGTGCTTGTTGGAGAGAAATTTCTCTTCCAGCCTGTTGTCCATTCCTCAGTCATGTGGATTGATTCTAAACTCTTGTCCCATGAACTGCAAACGTTTTCTCCCTTTCTGTAGTTTGCTATTTCACTTCTTTTTCTTAAAACTTATTTATTTTTGCATACAGAACTGGGGTACAGTCCCAAATGATCAGAGACAGAGTGGGGAGCAGAACAGGCAGCTGAAATCTACTGCTGAGGGGAGGAGCAGGCGGGACAGCAGAAGTCTGCTGCGGCCTGTGGTCACCTCCCTGGCCGGGGATCGAACTCATGCTGCAGTGTCTGCGATAGCTTCATAGTGCTGCGCTTCAACCCGTTGCGCCACCAGGGAGGGCCCTGTTTTACTTTCTTGATTATGCTTTTGATGTGCAAAGGCTTTTTAATTTTGATGCAGTCCCACTTAACTACATTTCCATTTTTTGTCATATCTAAGAGTCCATGGCTAAATTCAAGGTCACGGGGTCTTTGGCATTTCTTAGCCCTCTGGCTTTTCGCTGAGAGTTATATGGCTTCGATTTTATGTGTTAACTTCTGTGTGTGGTGCGGTGTAGGAGTTCAGCTTCGTTCTTGCGCATGTGGATACTCCTTTGTCCCAGAAGCCTTTGTTGAAGAGACCCACTTCTTCCTGTGGAGTCGTCTAGGAAACCAAAGAAGTATGGGTTTAATTCCTGCCTCTCGAGTCTATTCCATGGCCTCTGTGTCTATCCTCGGTTTTGATTACCCCGGCTTCGTTTAATTGGAGATGTTGTCTGTGCTGTGCTGACTTCAACCTAACTTGAAGATAAAAACCAGACTCTCACGGTCACCACGTGCTTCTTCCAGCATCAAGTCCTATCCAGATTCTCCCTCCAGGGCAGCTCTGGGTGGTTGACTTTTTTGTACTCTGGCCTGCTGGGGGCTGGCCGCTCTGGTAGCAGTGTCTTGGCTCACGCTGTCCTGGACTTCTGGTGAGGCGGACAGAAGAGAAGGGGGAGGGTCACCGCCTGCCCAGATGAAGACATCTTTCCTGAGGATGGGGCAGAGTGGCTGTGTGCTCTCTGCACTGTCCTCCTCCTCGGCCATTCCCCGGCAATAAGTGGGCGAGAGGTTCTGGAGAGAGATGACCTCTGTGTCGCTGGGACAGTGGGAAGCTCTGTCCGAGTTTGTGCTAGTCAGCACCACGCCGGCCGGCCCCAGAGCAGGCCCCCCACAAAGGCAGAGGCCTGATGCTTCGGGGGTTCCTCTGCTCACAGCCTGTAGACAGGGTAGCGCCCGAGGACTTGTCTGGGCAACGCTGAATGACTCAGCCCAGCTCCCCTTTCGGCTAGTCGACGCGAATGGCCATTTCTACCCCAAGCCAGAAGCAAAACTTCAAGTGTAGCCGAACGGAGTAGGAAGGCTCATTAACTGGAACATTCCTAAGCAGCAGAACGGTGTCTTTTGCCCACTAATGACTGGGTCTTGCTTAGCAATTTCCCATTTTCCCTCCTCGCAGGTGAGAAAACCTGCTTCTTGGCTTCGGGGCTCTCCCGCTGGCCTTGGGTTCAATGAGCCGCCTCCTGCCCTCCCTGGCTTGTCTCCCTGACCCACTCGTATCCCTCTGGGCCTCGGCTCTTCCAGCGGACAACTTGCTCACGGCCCAGTGCTCTGTTTGGTTTGAGGCATTTCCACCTTGCCGGTTTACCAAAACAGGGTGGTTTCTTGGGTCTGTTTCTGCTTCACCAGCCTCTCCTTTGGCACAGTGCAGCCCAGAGGCAGGGGGATGGCCGAGATGACTTCCAGAGATCTTTGCAGCCTCCTGTTTATTTTTGTCCTTTCCTCCCGGAGGTGCGTCGAGAATTCTTTGGTTAATGGGCATAAAGTGCTTTGAAAAACACAAACTGTTAAGTGGCATCGGACGGACTCAGTAATTATTGATGATTTCAGGAGAGCGGGTTAGCTCACGGAGAGGGGGTTTTATTGGCAGGGGCGCTAAATCATTCAGGAGCACGCAAATAGCAGGGACGCCCCTGCCTGCCCCCAGCCGTGTCCCTGGAGGCGCTGCTGGTAAGCTGGCCAGGGATTGGTCACCTCCCCATGCTGCCCGAAGTTCCAGTCAGAGCCAGGAGCACAGGGAACCTGGGGCTCGGGATACCTCTGCTTGCCTGGGAGCAAAACTACAGTCAGACGGCCCTGGTAAGAGAAGGGTTGACTCTTTCCCCTGAAATCCGAGAGGGAGTGTGGCCAGACCTCGGGGAAAACTGCGCCAGCAGCAAGCGCCTGGGTCTAGAATCGGACCGGCCCTGTAGGTCCTTCCTGCCGCCAGGAAGGGGGTCCTTCCCCCCACCGCCACCCTGCATACCCTCTCCCACCTCTGCGGCCCCCACCACCTCTTCAGGGTACGACCCTGTCTTGCCCTCCTGCCCACAAGTGTGTTGATGGCTGTGGACCGAGGTCCATGCTTCCTTCGTTCAGTCGCTGCTGTCTGGCTCCTCTGCGTGGGGGTGGGCCTCCCCTGCACCCCACTTTCCTTTCCCTCCATTCTTCCCAGGAGCGCCTGCTTTCTGCCCACCCTGTGCGCCCCCACCCATTCTCTGCTGTCCCCACTTGAGAAGGAGCACCTCCACCCCTCAGCCCTGCACCCCGACGGGAAACCGCAGCCTGCACGCTCCCACCCCCAGCCCCAGAGCACTGGCCGAGGACACTCGGGGCTTCGAGCCTGTGATTCTCACTTTTCTGTGCAAAATAGCTGCGCCCCACTCCAGGCTGGCCAGTGTCTCTCTCCCTTCTTTCCACCTGCCCGTGGTAATGCGCCCAGAAAACAAACCAAAAACAAACTCGGGCTCGGGCTAAAACCACAGGCACCGGTCAGCCTGCCGGTGCGAGAGGAAATCACCGCCCTGCTGCCGGGCTCCTGCTCTCTCCCTCCAGCGTCCAAGCACACACAGGCGCCCGCGCTGGGGCGGGAGGGGAGTTTGCCCACCTGGACCCTGGCGGGGAGGCCTGCACGAGGGGAGAAGGTGGACAAGAGCAGGAGGCCGGGAAACCCGGGACAGCCAAGGGCGGGTTTTGCCATGGCCTGAGGCTGGTTTGCAAAGGACTGTCCTGGCGACTGGCCATCCCGGCCCTTCACAGGACCTGGGAGGAGGTCACACAGCCCACCGACCAGACTAGGGGCCTGCTCTGCACAGAGGCAGGCGGGTGCAGCGGGAAGACATGGTGACTGTGCCTGGGGGGT